AATAAGTTGTATGCTAGATGTATTCAGCAGTCTTTTGCTTTCAATCATACATCGATACACAGACACAATCAGAGAAAAATGACTATTCAAAGTTATATTTATTAAGAAGAAAAATTATTTTTTTTACAAAAGGTTTTATCGATGTTTTTTATCTTTTGGGCCAAATCGACTCTTGAATTTATCAATCTTAGGTCGTTTTGGTAGTGTATTAAAACGTCCTGATCGAGCTGATTTTGCTTCATTCATGTATTGGGTTTTATTATTATGATCGTCACTTATCAACAACTGCTCGATGGAATCGATATTTAACTGAGCATGTAACAGGTTCATTCTTTTGCATATAAGATGATCCAATGACCTTAACGAGTTGTTTATCAACTTGACAATGTGGTAATGTACTCTTTCGTAACGTTCGAACATCTCATCTGAAGAAGTGACAGGGATGAAAGCTAGTCTCAAAGGTGAACGATCAATATTGTCATGCACTTGTATTAAACTGTAAGAATCTGTGCAATCGAATGTTTTTTCAAAACTTTCAGAAACAGGCTGTTCATTATCGTATAAATATATCCAAAAGTCAATAATTTTAGTTTCAGCGATCTGTTCAATGGTAGGCAGCTGGAGTTGTTGCTTTTCAGAAAACAAACATAGGAAATATTCTTTCACTATTGTTAATGTGTGGTGGCGAAATCGTGAACTATAAATATTCGCATTCGAGAAAATGACCATAAGTCTAGAGAAAATAAGTTCCATTGTGCTAAAATCATGTAAATCATATTTTTTCTTGCTAAGAGCTATAATACATTGTGCAGCAGTGTTTCGTGTTTTTGATAGATTCTTCATACATTGAAATCCATCACAATTACTGATAACATCTAATGAAATTGAATTTTCTTCTCTCAAAAGAGGAGTAGACAATGAATTCACACCAAGATAATTAAAAAGTTCCAATGTATCTAATATATTCTCATCTTCATCTAATTCATTGAATAATATATACAGTTGTTCACAAGTAATTGAATGAAGAATAATTATAAATGAAGCATAATTAATCGGAGATTTTAATAATATATATTCATCGTTTTTGTTTTACATTGCTGAAGAATCATCTTTATGCGCTACCAGAGCGCATAAATAAGGAAAATGATAAAGTTCTTGCTGAGTGAGATGAACATGTTCATGAGACTTATCAAAACGAAATTTATATATGGATTCTATATTTGAATTCGCCATTGTTTCAAAAGCTAATTTCACCAAATGATCAAGTGTATTCTCCTTTGCTGACGGCGTTTGTTGAACAAACAACAAAATAAAACGAAGATGATGTGCTTCCTTTCGTTTTTAAAGTAAAGAATAATAAAAGTATGTTAAATTTTTTTCTCTACCTGAGGTATCGTTATCACCCTTATCGTGTCAACAGAATGACGAAAAAAGGAAGAAAAACACATCAGTCTACACATTATTTTATGCAAAAGCAAGAGGAAAAAAACATCGACATGAAACATGTGGAGTGTTGATGTAGGTATGTTCCTTGTCGTAATGACAGTAATGCTTCGCTGAGAAAAATGTTTCTTTTCGAAGATATTAATTCTTCCAAGATTATCTCACAATATACGAAATCCTGAAACATTAACATTTTAAAAATTAAGCATACTCCCTGTTAAATATATCATGTTTCAAAAAATAAGTTGAAATTTGTGAAAATTTAGATCTGACCATGGGCAAAGTGTTCCAATCAAACTTATTGCTAGAAAAACTTTGCTCTAGTTTTGTATCATTTTATAGTAAAGCAATGCAATTGGAAATAACTATGATCACACAAATTCTTTATTTGAAATATTCATCACTGTATAAGTCGTTAATATATAAAATGAATATAGAACGTCTGTTGTGCAAAGGTTAAACTGAGAAAATAATCAGCAAAATCTTTAGTTTGTCAAGTTTGATTGGCGTTAGATAAAAAGAATAACGAAACAATAAAATAAATTTTTTTTATTGCCCATTAATAACCGTAGGCAATCAATTGATTTGCACCTGAAATCGATTTTGTACGTGGACTGTATCGCTCGCAATTAAATTTCATTTGATAGCATTTCCGATTGATACCGACTATCAACAGATTTACTAGTTTCATTATGAGATTTCTATCAGTAACGGATACTTCTTCAGATAAATTTCTGTAAAAATTTAATGAGATTTCTCTTTCAAAAAACAGTCAATTCTAAATTTAAACTTGTTTGAATTTTAAAAATCAATGCATATTCTGTATTCAAAAAAAGTATTAATGAATACAATTGAATAACAAAACTAATTTATTTTGCCTTCAGAAATATAAAAGAAAAACAAGAAGTAGAATTTTGAATCAGTACTTTTTACCTCGATCTCATCAGTTGAATGAGCACATTCACCGACGATACTTTTCATCGATTTCAATATAGCTAAATGAATTGATAACCAAAAAAGAGTTTATATTATAATTAATGAGTTCATTACGAAATCGAATGATTACCAAGTCGATTATATTCGTTGCCTGCTTGATGATTTGGAGGTGAATGGAGAGAAGAATTAGATCCTCAGCCACCCTTCAAAAAATATGTTTTTTAAACATATTCCAACAGCTAAATCTGAAGAATCATAATATGAAATTGTACGTTTCCTTTTTAAATTTTCTGATTTTAATGAGTTTTGTTTATAATTAGTTCTTAATGACATTGAGATACTAACTATATGAATATAGAATAGTTTATGCATCTGAAGATTTTCTCGTTGAAATTGATTACAGTCTGTTTCTTTTTTTCATATTTTACTTCGTGAAATAGTTTAAATAGATGAAAAAATAAAAGCTTAAATATTAAAATTAGAAATAAGAATTAAAAAAGAAGAGTCGGTTTGCGCAAGCAGTTTATTTCAAATGCCTTATCCTAAGGCACAATTGTGAACCATTGAAAGATTCACAAATTTTTCGAAGTAGAATTCTTTCTCGGCCGTTTTATTTTGTTTTTGTTCTTTTTAATATTTTATAGTTTTTTTTTTATTTTTTGAAATTTTATTATTTTTTTGATAATTTTTTTCCGATTTTATTATTTTTTTTTTGTTTTGTTTTGTTAACATTGTGCAATTTGTGAAGTAGCTGACTCGTCATCTGCCGACCCCATCCATAACAGAACATAAGATCTATATAGAATGAAATATTTTGATGTGTTGCAATTACAGAAGTAAAAATGAGAACAGAAACGAAAAACAATAAAGCTAACATAAGAAATTTCAAAATCTTGTTTCAAGTTGTGTAATTCAAAATAATTTTGTCAAATGCGCAACTGGTGTGGATGATTGATGAAATAAGTTCTAGAAAGAATTCACTGATGCACTTGTTGACATTGTCCTATCAACTTGGTTCCATTGAAAAGATGTTTGCACACAACAATTCAGCACCACTTACAACGGCTTGGCATCATATTTGGGGGGGGGGGGGGGGAGGGGGGGGGGGGGGGGGGGGGGGGGGAGGGAGTGGGTGTGTAGGTGTGAGTGAAGGAGTGTGTGGTGTGATTGTCGATTTCCTCATGTCTCATACTTACACTTACCCATCCACACCGACACTCACCCACACCCATACTCACAGTTTTTTTCTGTCAAGACAACGGTAAGCATGAACCAATATATACGCCCGGAAAAAAATAGTTAGAGTTCATTTTTCGAAGATATTGTCACTATAAAAAGACATTTTTTTAAAACTAATTACATATTCTGAAAGCGCGTGGAGTTTTCTATCACTCTATATATTTACATTTTCGTTTGCATAGAAGTATTACCAAAAACAATTGAGTGCAATGAAGACACCCTCATGTACAGATTTCCATAGACTTGATTTTCTAACTGTCATAAAAATTAGTTTTTAAAATTTTTCATTGCTATAGAATCGTCTTTTTAAAAAAGCAATTATAGATTCTGATAGAGCTTGAAATCCTCTATCACCCTGTGTATTTATCTATTTTATTGTATTCGCAGATTGAAAAATAATTTGATTAGAGTGAACACACCCTCAATTGACAAGTACCAAAAATCTGTACTTTTTTGTTATTTTTGGAGTTTTCTTTTTGAATTTGTTATTGCTATGGGAAAACTTTTTTAATAAAGCAATTATAGATTCTGATAGAGCGTGAGATTCTCTATCATCCTGTATATTTACCTATTTTCTTGCATTTATGTACTGCAGCATATTCAACAGATAAATGTAAGGCAAGACAAAAATATATAGGATGATAGACAATTTCACGCTCTATCAGAATCTATAATTGCTTTTTTAAAAAGACGATTCTATAGCAATGAAAAATTTTAAAAACTAATCTTGATGACAATAAAAAAATCAAGTCTGTGGAAATCTGGACATGAGAGTGCCTTCATTGTACCCAATTTGTTTTGGTGATACATTGGCACAAACTAAAATGTAAATATACAGGGTGATAGAAAACTCCACGGTCTTTCAGAATATGCAATTATTATTAAAAAAATATGTTTTTATCGTGACAATATCTTCGAAAAATGGACTCTAACTATTTTTTTCCGGGCGTATATATAGAAATACATTATTTGTTTTCTCAGATACAATTCTTTCAAGCAATAAAAACGACACAGATAAGAAAAAATATCGTCAGTACAGCGAAAACTTTTATAATAAGCCATCGATTTGATGTTACTAAACGACAATATTTAAGTAATTCTGTATGTGCGCCTTCAATATGATGTGTTGCTTTGTCAATATTAATGTCAATTTTAAATAAAATAGAAATTTTCGAATTTCTTATAAAGACATGTTGTCATGTGTTTCATCTATTTACTCTGGTAGATGTTCTCCTTGTTGCCGTAGTATTATAGCTAATTCAGTAAAAGCATCACCCAGTTCAATTATTGTTTGTTCGATACCTTGCATAGCTTTCGAACGATTTGCCAAATATATATCCCATGATTTTTATTTTATTTATTAAAAATAAAACAAAAACCAATCATACCGTTTCATCAATAACTTGTAGTTGTGGTATCATTGAAGGATAATATGTTTCATCTGAGCCTATGTCAATAATAGCATTACCTCCATTCGTTGTTCGATGTTCATCAATAGAGAATACAGATAGACGACCTATGAAAGGGGATACACAATAAGTTGTACAAAAATGTTTTTTTTTATTTACCGTTTCTTGTTGATGGAGTAGAAGTCAAAGATGATACAACCGTATTATATGAAAAATTACTTCGACGTATTGCTTGATCTTTCATATTCTAAATGAAAAGAAAATGAATTTTAATCGTCTTCCAACTCTTATATTAAAGAATATGATTTTCTGTGAAAATAGATTAATAATCAAAGATCTTCCATTAGTCAAAAAAAATAACTATAAACATCAATTGCTTTTGTAACGGAACTCAAGGCAAATTCTACTACAGATATACATTTGATTGCTTCTATTTCTAGTAAAACATCAACAGGTGAATGTATATGCATTTTACCTTAGAAAAACCATCTTCACTAACGAGACATGTATTCAAGGAAAAGCATAAAAGAAGCATTTTGGATAAACAGTGCTATTCCACCATAGGCCTACGTCTAGTCATATTATGAGTTCTTATAATCTTCCTATCTGAATTCATAGGGTTCTAAATCTAACACCGTGGCTTTGCCTTCGAATCCTTAGGTATTTCTTCAATAAAAAAATAAATAAAAATCTGATTTTTTTGAAAACTTTAAAATTATCTCTAAGAGATATAGTTTAAAATATCTCGAAAAACTTTTTCTCTCAATTTGGATATAATATGATGCAGAATCACCATGTGAGTATAATAGGTGCAGTTCAATGAAAAACCAATGTTTACCCAAAAATATTCTTTACCTTTTTTGTCTTCGAACATATGTCTTATTATTCAGACTATTCTATTTGCAATCACTAGTTCATGTGAATCGTTTATACTGTCTTCAGTAACCACTGATGATGAAAAAGGTGGGGAATATTATTAATGAAACGAAGTCCATTTCCAACTATAGAACAGTTCAAGTTTTTTGAACTGGGCCAGTTATTAAGAGCGGAACAAAGAGAACTGAATATGACTGTAGAGGAGCGAGTGATCTGCAAAAATTTCAGACCTAAATCTGATCCTGATTAGGATTAGAAGCAAGCCGACAGGCTCTACGGCAGATCATAGTACACATAGATTTATTATCTGCTTTTTTCTCTTTCTTTTACATTCTTGAATTCGAGCTTCGAGAACTTGTATAAAATCCTTGGACATAGTTGCTAATTTAGACTACAGAAAATAGAAATTCTTATATTCTTTATCCTCTTATTAAAACGAAAGAATATACTTACCTTTAAAATCAAAACGAATGAATTGAGATGTGTTTGAGAATTTTTCGCTTTAGAACTATGTGTATTTGGTATACGCTTCCAGCAGGGTGTGGGTGTGGGGTGTGGGTGTGGGTGTGGGTGTGGGTGTGGGTGTGGGTGTGGGTGTGAGTGTGAATCTTCTCTTCATTAAACCCACCCACACCCACAACCACCCACACCCCACACCCACACCCCATACNCTTCAGCAGAACAAAAGGTTTTCCGATCAGGTTTGTTTTGCTTTGATCGGAAATGATTTCTCTTCTCTAACTAGCTACATCATCAAAGCTTCGATCACGTTTTCCGTTTCTTGCTGAGTACATTGTCGGAAACGAGGTTATTGGATTTTTCACGTAGTTTTGAAACTTGCATCTCTTCTTCATAGAAACAAATTTACAACCATGTGTTTCACTATAGAAAAATTTATTATACAAATCGAGTCACGACTTCTGGCCCACCCTTTATACTGTTTGTTCACGCAATCACTTCTCACTAGAATATTCTCTTCTAATTTGTTCGCCCGCTTTGTTTAACTAGATTAAACAAGAAAAAAGAAACAATCAAGAGACAGACAAACTTAAATTGGTTCTCAATGGTTATCAAGATTTTACTTTTTTCTATTCATTAAAAAATTATTCCAATTTGGTCTAGGCGAAATTAGAATTTCAACTTCGTCTGGACGAATTTTGACTTGGGCTGAATTCTATCTAACTTCGGTCACAACATATATATAGATAGATAGATCAATAATCGGCTATTGTCAAGTAAAAATATTGATTTGAACCATTGATTTTGAAAGATAAATATATTTTTCAGATTAATTAATACAAAATTATTATGGCTCTTCTTCGACGTCTTACTCATCATTATGTTGAAATAGAAAAAGATTCTCCTCCATTATGTTATGCAAAACCTGAAGATCCAAGTAAAGATATGATTAATTGGTTTGGTTGGATTGACGGACCAAAAGATACTCCACATACTAATGGAAGATTTTATTTATCACTTAAATTTCCTTCAGATTTTCCATTTAAACCACCTGAAATTAAATTTGTAACACAAATTTATCATCCAAATATTAGTATAAAAGGTGAAATTTGTTTTGATATTCTTCATTCTCAATGGTCTCCTGTATTAACTATTTGGAATCTTCTTATATCATTATGTTCATTATTATCTGATCCAAATCCTGAACATGGAATTAATAAAGAAGCTCTCGAACTCTACATAGCAGATAAAAATAAATATGAACAAATAGCAAAACAATGGCCAACAATATATGCTATTCAAGATAAATATTAAACATATATTTAATTAGTACATTTTTTCTTTTTCTATATCATACAAATGAAATAAAATCATTTATACAGCTTTATACGTAAGAAAAATAATCGATAGTTTTTATTGAACATCTTTAAAATGAAAAACAAAACAAATAAAGAAATCATTGAATAGATTTTATTTTTAAAAATTTATAGAAAAATTAAAATTAAAATTAAAATTAAAAGTTAATATTTTTCTTTTAAATTCTTCGTTTATATATACGTCGAACATAAATAGGTGAAGAACTACGATGTGTAGAGATTTGTTCATCATGTTTATTTTCAATTTTTTTTTCAATTTGATTTAATCTTCCAGCTACAATTGATGATAATGTTAGAACAATAACTTCAAGTAAAACTCCAACAGAAAATAAAGCAAAACCAACACCTGTATAATACAAAACAGAACCAGCAAATGCCAAACAACATATACCAAATATAACACCTATACAAGCAAGAATTGGGCCAAGAAAAACTAAATAAATATTCAATTTAATAGTTCCAATTAGAAATGAAAATATTGCTGAAAAAAAAATACTAAGTATTGTAATTATTGAAAAAATAGCAGCATGACGTAAACGATAAAAATCATCAATTAATATTTGATAAATTGGTCCAACATCAGTTAAATATGTTGATGATCCATTTGTTGGATTTGTACATCCAGATATATATCCTGTTACATTTAATACATTATTTATATAAGATGTTGTTGAACATCTATAAGAATTATAAGATGTACAATTCAATGTTGTTGTTGTTGTTGTTGTTGTTGAAATCGTTCCTTGATTAACATTTTGAGAAAAACATGAATAAAATAAATTAGCTTCACTTATAACATCTGTATAATTAGCATTTTTTCCTATGTACCATGATGGAAGACCAACACCAATACAAATTAATATTAAACTTATTAAAGCAATTATACACGATGTAAGACTAATAATAAAACTTAATAAATCTCCATTACGAGACACCATTTTCTCACACTTCTCTCAAATGGTAACAATACAAATTTACTAATGTTTTTTATTGTTTATGTCGTTGTTCTGAATGGAAAATAATAAAAAAGGCGAGACAAATCTCATAACTGTGTGTTTTCTCTTATTTTTCTTCAAATTGAAAATAGTAAATGCATAAAAGAAAAAGTATGACATTTTTTAAAAAGATCTTTTTAAATAATTCAACAATATATTATTAATTTGAATCTATGTTGAACACAATGAAATATATGTCAACTTATTTTATATATTCATATATATTAGAATTATTTATATAGCCTATTAAAATATTTAATAAATAATAGAAATTGATTTTTCAATAAATCATTTGTCGATATTTTATTGAAAAACAAAAAAATTTTTTAAGAAAATTAATTTTAACACTTTATTTTTTGTTCTCTTGTTTACTCAAAAAACCTTTCTACAGACGATTGTCTTCAAAACAAAAACAAAACAG